AGATTAACAAAAGGATTAGAGAGGGGAGAGAGGAGATTATCGAACTCTTCTTTCTTTTTTTTTTTTTGATAAATATCGAACTCTTATTCTTCTTCCTCTTCTTTTCTCCATCTTCTTCCTTTGTACTGCTGTCCACTACTTTCTACTTTTCTCTCTAATTTTAATCAAGTTTATATCAGTTTAGATGACTGATTCACTTCTTGGTATCAGAGTAGGTTTCTTTCTTCCCTATTTTTTCTTTTTCTCTTTTCCCATACACCCTTCGGTTAGGAGAGTGTATGGAGAGATAGGTTCTCTATAGTTCAGAGGATCTTTTGCCTAGTCGGTAAAGGGTTTGGAGAGTTGAAGTCTGGCCAAAAACAGCCAAGAAGTGATGCTGTATTTTTTTCTGCCCAAAACCCTAGCTGATTAGAGAGTTCCGAAGTTACGGGTAAAGAAGAAGCTTTTGGTGTGGCGCTCAGTGCTTGGGAGGTGTCTTTTGACTTCTAAAAGAGGGAGGTTCAGTTCTGGAAGAGATAGGGAAGCTCTAGTAGGAGCAGCTGCATCTTCTCCCTAGTTTTCAAACATTTGGGTACTGTTTTGACTTCAAATAAGTTTATAAAGACTAAAATCCTAGTTTTTTTATTTTCATTTGATCAATGGAGCAATACGGAAGTGAGTTCAAGCAGATGCTAGTATCCGGGCTTGGCTCGGTAGATTCCATTTTGACTGGTGTGACGACAATTAAGTTAGATGGAACCAATTATCTTGCTTGGGCATAGTCTATACGGATTTATGTCTGTAGTAGAGGTAAATTAGGGTATCTCATGGGCAATAAGGTGAAACCCAAAGAGACAGACCCTGCATTTGAGAAATGGATGCAGGAGAACCATATAGTAATAGGATGGTTGGTCAACTCTATGCATCCCCATATAAGTCAGCATTACCTTTGGACGTCTTCAGCCAAGAAGATCTAGGATAGTGTCACAAAAACCTATTCACATAAGTTGAATGTGGCAAGAACCTACAAGCTAAAAAGTGATGTGAAAAACTTAAGACAAGGGGGAGAAGAGTGTGGCAATTTACTACTCTATGCTGAAATCACTATGGCAGGAAATTGATGTTATGGAGACAGTTGTATGCAAGGTTCAAAATATCGATACGCCCGATACGCTGGTAGGGGCGTATCGAGCGAATCGATACACATTTTGGTTGCTTTTTTTTCGCAACCGGTTCAGGGGGGGCGGTTTAGGTCTCCTCTACCCCCTGAACCAGTCAGATCTCCGATACACCCACTATAGGGGCATATTGGAGGGGTCCCGGAACGATACGTATCGATCGATACGGGCCGATACGTGTTGATACTTTGAACCTTGGTTCAAAAGTATGCAAGGTTCAAAAGAATGGAGACAGTTGTATGCAAGGTTCAAAATATCGATACGTCTGATACGCCGGTAAGGGCATATCGAGTGAACCGATACACATTTTGGTTGTTTTTTTTTCGCAACCGGTTCACGGGGGCCGGTTTAGGTCTCCTCTACCCCCTAAACCGCTTAGACCTCCGATACACCCACTATAGAGGTATATCGGAGGGGTCCCGGAATGATACGTATCGGCCGATGCGGGCCGATACGTGTTGATACTTTGAACCTTGGTTGTATGGGAGAGTGCAAAGGATGCAGAGACATTTAGGAAGTTGGTGGAACGAAATAGGGTGTTTGAGTTTCTTACAAGACTCAACCCTGAGTTTGACATTATTAGGCAGAATATTCTGGCCAAGGATGAGGTAACTCTTGCCCAGGCATATGCTATGGTAAGCAGTGAAGAGAGTAGGCAACAGGTTCAGTTATAGAGTCCACCTGCTAGGGGTGCACTTGGGCGGGCCCAACCCGAGCCCGAACAGGCCCAACTTGGAATTTTACACAGGTTGGGCTTGGATTTTTGATCCTCAGGCTGGGCTCGGGCCCAAGAAGTCGGACTTTTTTATTTTTCAGGCCAGGCTCGGGCCTAGCCCTGTGTATGTAAATGTTGCATACATATTTACATACATAAATATATGTACATATATTTGCATAAATACATTTGTATATGTATAATTTTAGTGGGTTCATTGACCAACCTGAGCCCGTCTCGGGCCCGAGCCCAATCCGAATGCATCAAATTACAGGGTGGGCTGGGCTCAGGTTGGGAAAATTGGGCTTGACCTCAGGCTCAGGCTCGGGCCTTAAGCCCAAATTTTAGGGTCGGACCTAGGTTGATCATAAACCCGGCCCAACCCACCCGACTTGAACCCCTACCACCTACAAAACACTTTGCACATGCTGGAATAAAGCAGAAGGGTCCAACTGAGAAGAAAGAGTTGATATGTGAATACTGCAAGAAACCGAGGCATACTAAGGACACTTGCTGGAAACTTCATCCAGATCTTCTACCAAACAGGTTTAAGAATAACAACAATTTTAAGAAGACTGGTCAAACAAAAAATCCTAAGATTGCTAATGTTGCCACAGTACCCGAAAGAGGGAATAAGGAGAGTGAAGAAAGTCAACCATGGAACAATTGGCAGCAATGAAGGCAGATTTTGAGAAGTATGGAAGGTTGTTAAATCACTTGGAAGTCATTGTCTCTACATCCCACTCTTCAGGCAACACATCATCACCATCCGCGTTTGCTCACTCAAGTATTTGTGCTTCTACAAACCATGCTTTTGTTTCAGGTAATCATAAAATCCCTTGGATCAATGATTCTGATGCATCAGACCATATGACCAACTTGTCTAACCTCTTTTGTTCATATCACCTTCTCTCTGGTAAAGAGAAAATACCTCTTGTGGATAGGTCTCTTGCTCCCATCTCTGGCAAGGGTGATATCAAGACCTCTGACACCCTTATTTTATCCTCTATTCTTCATGTCCCCAAACTTAATACAAATCTTTTATTTGTTAGCAGCTTAACTAAATGCATGAACTATAGCATAACCTTCTTTCCTACTCATTGTGTTTTTCAGGACCTGAAATCTCGAAGGATGATTGGGAGTGGTCATGAGGCGAATGGAATATACTTGTTCGACACACCTAGGATATTGTGGATTTTCCAGAAGGGAAGGAATCAATGGGTATTTACCATTAAATATCATTCTGATGACTCTATTAAGAGGTTTAAGGCCAAATTGGCTGCTAAAGGCTACACTCAGATGTATGGTATTGACTATCTTGAGAATTTTGCTCCTGTGGCTAAGATGACCACAGTCCGGGTTTTGTTGTCCCTAGCTGCTACTTTTGATTGGCCTCTCCCCCAATTTGATGTTAATATGTCTTTACCTCCGAGAGTGTATGGAAAGGAAATGCAAGGGAAGGTGTGTAAACTGCAGAAATCCATTTATGGTCTCAAACAGTCCTTTCGGGCCTGGTTTGAAAGATTCAGGGCTGTTCTTGTCTCATTTGGTTACAAACAAACTCAATCTGACAATACCTTATTCTTGAAAAGAAGTAACTCTTTGGTGACTTTTCTGATTGTTTATGTTGATGACATTGTGGTCATGGGTAATGACACCCAGGAGGTCAGTAAACTCAAAAAGTTTCTTAACTCTGAATTTGAGATCAAGGGTTTAGGAGATCTCAGGTATTTCTTGGGAATTGAAGTTACTAGACCTAAGGATGGTATTTTCATTTCTCAATGCAAGTATGTTCTTGACCTCCTTGTAGAGACTGGTAAACTTGGTGCTAAACCAGCCTCCACCCCTATCGATCCCAATCATAAGCTTTCTGCTACAGATGGTGAACTTTTATCTGATAGGGGAGTGTTTTAGAGACTACTTGGGAACTTTTATCTGATAGGGGAGTGTTACATCGGATATTTCCTATGCAGAGTGTTATTAGTCAGTTTATACATTCTCTCAGAGATACACATTTAGCTACAACAGAAAGAGTTCTGTGTTACTTGAAAGGTACTCCAGGGAAAGGTATTCTATTCGCCAAACATGGACACATGAAGCTGGAGGCATACACTAATGCTAATTGGGCCGGATGTATTGATGATTGGAGATCCACCTCGGAATATTGTGCTTTCATGGCAGGGAACATTGATTCATGGAGGAGTAAGAAACAGTCTATAGTTGTCAAATCCTCTGTTGAAGCAAAATCCAGGGTAATGGCACATGGTGTGTCAGAATTACTGTGGATGTAATCACTTTTAAAAGAATTGGGAGTTGACTATGAAAAGTCAATGATGCTCTACTATGACAACCAGGCAGCTATCAACATTGCACATAATCCTGTTCAACATGATAGAACTAAGCACATTGAGGTTGATAGACATTTTATACGGGAAAGAGTTTCCTCGGGAGAAGTTTGCTTGCCATTTATTGCCTCAGAATAATAGTTGGCTAATGTTTTGACCAAGGGAGTTCCAAGAGGGAAGCTGACACACTATATAAGCAAGCTGGGCATGATTAACATCTATGCTCAGTTTGAGGGGGAGTGTAGAGAGACTAGGCCAAATGGGCCCTAATATCTATTCTTTTATTCTTGTAGTGTGTTATTTATTTGTTTGTTAATGGGCCTGTCTTAGTGGGCCTATTATTTCTTTTGTATAAGCTTACTTTAAGTTTCTACTTAGCTGGTCGCCCACTTAAGGGCATACTTGTAATTAGCTTAATGAATGAAGATCAACAAAAGGAATAGAGAGGGGAGAGAGGAGATTATTGAACTCTTCTTCTTCCTCTTCTTTTCTCCATCTTCTTCCTTTGTACTACTGTCCACTACCTTTCTCTCTAATATTAATCAAGTTTTTTATATCAGTTTTAGAGGACTGATTCACTTCTAATAAATTAATAAAGTTTTTGTTAATGATTAAAAATATATGTGTAATCCTAATGTACAATAAAGAAAGGATCATATATAAAGAAGGAATAAATGGCACTCACATCATTAAGAAAGAAGTAATAAAAAATCAGAACCACCAAAAACATATTAAGACCAATGATTAATTAGATTAACAACAAAAAAAACTAATGGTATTTACACATTTATTCACTCTCAAAGTGTATGTCTGAGAATCCAAAGTTTTTATCTTTATCTCCACGGTAGCCTCAGAACATTCAGCCTCAGCGCCCCCAGAAATCAATACTTCATTGGCATCATTGGTCCCCATCCTCTTCAGAACGTCACTTTGCACCTATAAAGGACCCGACAGTGAAAAACAGCATCAGAATAAGAAGCATTGCATCACAATAATCAATTCTATGGGAAATTGGGAACAGAAATACTATCTCTGCATATTGTTCTTTTTCATTTTTGACAAGTCTATCTCTGCATATTGTTACTATTAGTTCAAAAGACCATCAAGTGGTCACTCAGAATACTACATCCCAAATTCTAAAAACAATCTCGAGAAGCCAGATGGGTATTGAAAACATTGCAATCTGACAGACTATTCTTTATAGTGTCACTATTTTCAGGGAAGATATGTTACTTCTGACAATTCTGACAGAGCAGAGAGGAATAACCTACAAAATGTTAAGAGTGTTTGACCAAAACAATCAAAAGTTTAGGGCTGCAAATGGTCTGTTTGTTTGAATTAAAATTCATCCAGTTAAGGATGGCACTATAAAGAGCTGCCACTTGGACAGTTGATGGAGCTAATGCAGATTTTTTTTATAGAAAAGATATCACATTTCCATTAAATCAGAAAGAAATTACAAGAACAGTCCACCACTACCTTGATGGACAGTTGATGCTGCCTCTTCAAACATGGAACACATAAAACACATAATCTAAAGCAAAAGTACACGAGTACTGATACAAATTTACAGTTGAGCCCAAAATAGTGTTTCCCTATTTGTCCCTTGTTTTGCCAATCTATCAGCAAAGGCATTAGCTGATCTCCTCACCCACTGTACAGTAACAGACATGTTCCTTGTCAACCATTTGTAGTTCTTTAGCTCATTCTCGTAACCCCACACGACATCCTCCGGATTAGTTAACCACTCCACCACTACCTTGAGTCCCCTTCAATCAGCAACTGCTCCACAACCAAGTCTTTTGCAAGGAGGACCCCTTGTATGGAAACGAGCAATTCTGCCTTTAACAGAATTCCCAACGCCCAATGGTCCAGAGTGGAGGAGGATAACCTCTCCAGCCTCATTTCTCAAAACACCTCCCAACCCAGATGGCCCTGGGTTGCCCAGGCTACTCCCATCAAAATTCAGCTTCAAAAAACCTTGAGGAGGGTAGGCCCAGTTTGTAGAAACCCTTTCCTTTGAAGATGAACAGCTTGCTACTGCTAACTAGTTCCTCCATAAATCATTAAAAGAGAATTGGTGAAACAGTTCCATAGTCTTTAACCAATGTATTGCCCTATTCATAGTGAGTCCTTCAAAGAACAAACATCAATAGGAAGGACAGGAGAGTTTAGATTTGAGAGAATTCAATTCACTCTTATGTGAAATCTTTCTATAATCAGATGGCAAGGCAAGAAGGTAGCAAAAGTCCCTACTAACGTGATATGGAACAAATCTGTGCCCTCCAAAGTAGCTTTCTATCTTTGGGAGGCCTATTTAAAAAAGATACTAACATGGGATAATCTGATGAAGAGAGGGATGCTGGTGGATAGAGCTGATTGTGAACTGTGTGGAGAGATTATGGAACCAGCTGATGGAATGGCAGAAGGCATCTATGGTTGGGACTCAGGTTCTGTCTATACCTGCAAGGGAGATTAACTTCTTAGCCCAGGAAGAACAGGTTATGGGTTTGGAAAGAAAAAACTCTACCGGATTGCTCTGTATGGTATCGCCTAAAGCCAGACAGCATTGGAAGACTAACTCAGATGCGGAAGTTGACAAGTTGTTGATCTCCCATGAAAATTCTCCTAAGCAGATCAGACCACAGGAGATAAGATTAGACTTGCCTCCCTATGTCGGTCCTGTTCCCTTGGAACAAGCTCATTTGGTTCCCAACAATGAAGGTAATTTTGTCAATTCGGTTTTAGTTACTGATGCTTTTCCTGTGGTTGAAACAGATACTCCAGTATCCCGAGAGGAATCTTTAGAAAAGGAGGAAAACAGAGAGCTTAGCAATGGTGAAGGTGAGAGGAGTGAGGGAGAGTTGGAGTTAAGAAGAAGCGGGAGGGAGAGTTGGAGTTAAGAAGAAGCGGGAGGAAGAGTTAGAAAAAATATGGGAGCAAATCTGTGCATTATTGGAGTATAAAGCAAAGGAGGAGGGGTTAGATGATAGGGAACCTGAAGCAAATTTTCAGAACAAGGAGAGTTACAGAAGTTCTAGGCTAGGGGGGGAGGTGGGTGAAGGCAGTGGGTCGGCTAAAAGGATAGAGGGGAATGTGAGAAGGAGAAAGAAAAAGAGATCAGAAGTGGAGAGACTAATATCAGATATAGAGGGTGATATCGAGTTTAGTGGAAGGGGAGAGAGAAGGAAGGGTTCTTTGTGAGATGGGACCGGATTAGTAAGGGGCGTTTGAAAGGAGTTTTACTATGAAAATCATTAATTGGAATGTGAGAGGGCTAATTAAAGACCTGCTGAGAAGAGAGAAACCTGATATAGTCGTGTTACAAGAAACCAAGTTGGCAAATTTGGATAGAAGATGGGTCAGAAGTGTGTGGAAATCAAGAGGAGTGTGCTGGACTTTAGCTCCCTCATGGGGAGCCTAGGGAGGGATAGTGACCTTGTGGAGGGAGGATGTTGTTGAATCCGTGGAAGAGCTTATAGGGAGATTCTCTGTGTCTTTAAAATTCAGAAATGTGGAAGATGGATTCATTTGGGTGTTAACTAATGTCTACATGCCAAATGGTTATAGAGAAAGGAAGGAAATGTGGGAGGAGTTGTATGGAATTCAAGGCTTGTGGGATGGACCATGGTGCCTGGGGGGATTTCAATGTAATCAGGTTTTGTAATGAATCAAATAATCCCCAAAGATCGATTACTACAAGCATGAGAAATTTCAATGAATTAATTAACACCAGTGGGCTAAAGGAATTACCCCTTCTACAAGCTAATTTTACATGGTTCAATTTCCAAGAAAACCCCCTTTGCTCCAAACTTGATAGATTCCTTTTTAATGTAGAGTGGGAGGACCATTGGAGGAATTTGGTGGGTAGAACCCTTCCTAGAGTTACATCTAATCACTGCCCTATATTATTAGGTCAAGAAATTCTAGGCTTTAAATCACAACCCTTTAAATTTGAGAACATGTGGCTGACTCATCCGGACTTTGAACGGAACGTTGGTGAGTGGTGGAATGAAGAATTATGAATGAGCAAGAAAGGATTTTGAGAAGTAGCTTAAAAAAGGAATTGGAAGAAGTTCTTCTTAGAGAGGAGATTTCCTAGAGGCAAAAGTCAAGACACAAATGGATCAAAGAAGGGGATGGAAATACAAAATTTTTCCATGCGCTGGCTAATGGGAGGAGGAGAAAAAATTGTGGCCAAATTAGAAGTGGATGGGGAGGAAGTCACAAATCAAGATGAAATAGCAAAAGTGTTGGTGGATCACTTTAAATCAATTGCAGGGAAGCCATTGAATAATAGACTAAGGATGGAAGGTCTAGATTGGCCCAGGCTGTCTGAAGAGCAAGCAATCTGGTTAGAGAGAAGTTTTGAAGAAGAGGAAATTAGGCATGCAATATTTTCAATGGACAGATCCAAAACCCCTAGGCCAGATGGCTTCACCATGGCTTTTTATCAAAACTGCTGGAATGTGGTAAGAGAAGACCTTTGTGCTGTGTTTAAGGAATTTGAGGATTATAACAAAGTAAGCCCTAGAGTTAATGCTACTTTCATAGCTCTAATCCCTAAGAAGAAAGAAGCAAAAAATCCTAAAGATTTTAGGCCGATCAGTTTGGTGACTAGCATTTACAAAATCCTGGCTAAAGTGTTATCTTTAATGATTAAAGCAGTGCTACCCTCCATCATTAGTCAAGCCCAGGGAGCATTGGTGCAAGGGAGACAAATAACAGATCAAATTCTAATAAATAGCTAATGAATGTGTGGAGGATATGAGAAAGTTCAGAAAGCAAGGTTTTGTTTGTAAGCTGGATTTAGAGAAGGCCTATGATCTTGGATTGGAGTTTCTTATTAGAGGTCCTAGGGTGTTGTGGGTTTGGAGTTAGATGGTGTAATTGGATAAAGGGCTGCATAAGTTCTTGCCACTTTTCGATCTTGGTTAATGGGGTAATCAAGGAGTTCTTCCCAACTTTTAGAGGGTTAAGGCAAGGTGACCCTTTTTCCCCTTTCCCCTTCCCCCTTTCCCCTTTCCTCTTTACCCTAGTTGCAGATGTTTTCAGTATTTTGATCTCTAAGGAAGACATGAAAGGTATAGTGAGAGGTTGGAGGATAGGAAGGAACGGGATTAGGGTGACCCACTTACAGTTTGTTGATGACCTAATAATCTTTTGTGAAGGGGGTGATAGGAGAATAATAAGTAATCTCAAATCTTTGATAAAGTGCTTTGAGAGAGTATCAAATCTTAGAATAAACATGGAAAAGAGCTGTGTGGTGGGTGTGAATCTGGATGAGAGGACTATTGAGTCAGTGGCTAAGTATCTAGGTTGTCCCATTTCCTCTTTGCCCTTACAGTATTTAGGTCTTCCTCTAGGAGCCAACCCTAAGGAGAGCACCTTTTGGGCTCCGGTTCTGGAAAAGTTTGAGAAAAGGTTAGCCTCGTAGAAAATGAACTATATTTCTTTAGGGGGTAGAATTACTTTACTGAAAGCTTCCTTAGCAAATCTGCCGATTTATTACTTCTCTGTGTTTAGGATTCCTGTTAGGGAGGCCAAGAAGTTGGAGAAATTAATGAGAAATTTTCTTTGGGAGCGAGGGGAGGAAAAAAATGATCACTTAATAAATTGGGGAATAGTGTGTAGAAGGAAAGAGGAGGGTGGGTTGGGATTGAGGAACTTAGTTTTGAAGAATAAAGCACTCCTAGGTAAATGGTTGTGGAGATGGCCCTTAGAACAAAAGAGACTATGGCATGAGGTGATAAATAGTATACATGGCAGTTCAGGAAATGGATGGGATACTGGTGTATCACGTCGAGCCACATTGGCAACTCCTTGGAAAGCAATTCAGAGTATTCTCCCTTTTTTCCTCAACTGTATCAGGTATGACGTCAATTCTGGTACTTCTGTTTTGTTCTAGGAAGACATCTGGGTGGGCAATTCTGCCC